GTATATCCAGGTGCGTGTATCCCCGTTCGCGCGGGGCGGGCGTGTCCCTGATCGGCGGCCCGCGCGTGCACAGATCTTCAAGAAGCTCGCAGAGACGGAGAAAGTAGTACCTAATTCTGGTGTCGAGTCTGGACCTATGTGCTCAAATCCGTGATTCTGCTTGTAGGAATTCTCGTAGGCTCGCGGGGCCCTGATTTGCTTACGCTCGGAGGGTGATATACGCAGTGCCGCTACTAGATCTTGGCGGGGGCGAGGGGGCAGGCGTGGACAATCTCTTCGCGAGGGGGATCTGGATGTTGTTGTGTTGCTAAGTACCCGTTCCATTAGTCTTATTACCATGTTGTGTCTTTCTTGTCCTAATCCTACTCCGCGATATCGCCTGTCCAATTCAAGGTACCTTACTGAGCAGTATCGCTGCGGATGAGGCGTGCGGGACGTCATTTTACTATGGTGTGTAAGTCGACGGCGGTGGCGGTGGCTGGTGGCGCGGCAAGCGGACGGCATGGTGCGGCGGGGTGTGACGTCAAGAGATCGTGTAGCCGCCCGCTGCGGCTGCTGCTCCTTGGCTGCTCCCTGGCCTGATTCAAAACACGCTGCGGTGAGTATGGAGCCATCCGGAGGTCTGCGTCCCCCCTATCACACTCTCCCTCTCCTCCACGTTCCTCGCGATGTTTCTGGCGTACGAACATTACTACTGGTTCTACGCGTGGGTACCCGTCTTCGGAGCGTTCATTTGGTTTGGTGGGTCTCGAGCATTAATTTCTAGCAGAGACAAAAGCTCATGGTTGTCTAGGAACACTATGGGCTATGCTTATTACATGGCTTGCGACTGGTAAACCGAAGTATGTCACACAGCAAGGCAGCGTCGCATACATCTCGGATATTGGTGCAAGCTACCTCAAGCCCTTGTTCATCGTGTGTTGTTGCATAACGGGTGTGACCTTCTTCCTCACGCTGGTCGTTGAGAGGTGGCTGAGGCACTCGGCGAGGTGTGTACCAAAGAGCATATACCCACTAGCACCAGCTGACTGCTTCTGTTACTGTAGGCTGCACCCAAACATGCGCCGCCGCGAGAGAGTATTCTCGACACTCGCCGTGCTCGGCTCGTTCATCGGCGGTGCAGGCCTCATTCTCCTCTCCATCTTCGACACAGGGCGGCACCGAAGTCTGCACCGCATCTTCCTGCTCGTCTTCATCATCGGCGTCGGACTCAGCGCGATCTTCACGATCGTCGAGTACCGCTGGATTAACAAGGACTACGACGGCCAGCGCAAGCTGCGCATCGCGTACATCGCGAAGGGCATCATCGCCGCCATCCTCATCATCCTCGCCATCGTCTTCGCGATTACGCTCTACACGACCGAGAACGTCGGCGCCGTCATCGAGTGGGTGATCGCGTTCGGGTACACGTTCTACCTCCTCACGTTCTTCTACGACCTCCGGATGTCCCGCGGCATGCGCAAGGGCGCGTACCTCGACCAGGGGCTCCTCGGGCCGAAGAGCGGCGAGAGTGCGGGCACGGCTGGTAATATGCGCCAGGTGGGGGGCCCTGCACATGGCGGGGAACACGTCCACGCGAATGGGCACGGCGATACCTATGGCGGGCGCGGAGCGTATGGTACCCCAAATGCGGGAGGCGCCAATGTGCAGTCTGCCGCCGCCAGGTATTAGAGATCACGAACACAGAAGTGACCGAATAGCTACAAGCCATCCATTGACTATGCATATAGTATTGCTTCCATCGGTAGTCGGTATTTTAGTTGCCACGGACTCCTCAAGATACCTGTACCCTAACACCATTCGTGTACCACACGTTATTACTTTCTTGAAATCTATCAATAAAGAATACAACAAGAATCTGTCGTTCTGGGTGCATGGAAGGCGATAGTGATACTGAGCATGCTGGGTTCAAGTGTGTATGCACTGCAACATATCCTTACGTGCAATATCACGTGTACCGCGTATCGCCTCGCCTGTCCCATTGTCCGTTGGTCGTGCCGAGGTTCAAGTTGTCTATGGCACAAGCGATCGACTACCTCCTCCCCTCGTCGTCCCAACCATAACATTCCAACTCTTTTGCCTGCAGGGTTGGTGTAGGAACTAGGTGTTAATGTCCCTCCCTCCCTCCAGCCCACCTTCACGCTCTCGCACACCCATCCCCCGACCACCGTCTTCGCCCCTCCGAGCTACGGCCCCCGGCTCGCCCAACACCCCCACGCCCGCAAACGTCCGCCGCATATCTGGCACAAGCCCGCTTGTGCACACCCACTCGCTGCCGACCTCCCCGCCGCCCGAGCGGGCCAGGGTATCACCGCCCAACGCGACGGACCGACAGAAGACGCGTGCGCGGGACTTGCTGCGGAAACACTACGGGCTGGGAGTAGGACCGCCGCCGCCTCTGGGCGGGTCTGGCAGGGCTGCGGACCCGATGGACTTGGGTGCGTCCTGCATCGCGTTTCGTGTGAGGATGAGTGCATGACCGGCCTGCGGCAGACTCGTCCGCCTTCGATGCGAAGGCGTACTATGAGCAGCTCATCACGACAGCCTCGCTGCCGTCGCTGCTCAAGCGCGAGAACGGCCTCCTCTCCGAGATCCGGGAGCTCGATAGCGAGCGGCAGAGCTTGGTGTATAACCACCACCACGAGCTCATCGCCGCGAGCGACACCATTGCCGCGGTACGTTCGAGTACTCGTTCGTTCGACGCATGGCACTGCTTGCTCATGAGAGGCACAGATGAAGTCTCGCGCGGACCACCTCGACGCGGACCTCGACCTATTGCGCGCAGCGTTCTCAGAGATTTCACGCCTGTCGACAGAAATCACCGGTCGCGAACTATAGCTATAGCGGGTCTTCGCTATGCTGTTCTCTCCATCCTGTCAACGCTACCGAGCGACGTCCCCATCGATGATGCTTAGAAAACGCGGGCCATAGCTATTGTCCAATGCCCGGTGCTTCCTTGAAGATGCATAGCGTGAGCTGCCCCGGACTATGTGAGCGCCATTACCCCCGCACCCTGGGCTAGAGTGTCCTGTCGACGCGTTTGTATTTTCTTAAGGTATTCATGACTATGGCTAAGTGGTTGGGGCGACAGGCCCGAATCCGCGCAGTAGCGCATGTTCACACCATACTGGCGTCGTGATGATGTAGAATCTCTGTTTGAGCTGTGCCACTGGGACTCGGCTCGCTTTGGGCCCCTTCATATCACGCTTCTCGTGCAACGAGAGAAAACGAGGCTTGCCTGTGGCTGCCACTAGTTTCCGAAAAGGGACAAACCCTTGTACTCTATCTTCACGCTGCCATATTCCTCGCCGCCATCACATCCTCACGACAGTATATGTATTTAGTTCCTCCATGTCGCCTCTAACACCCCCGTCCCAATCTATGGTACGTCGCACCATCACGCCATCCGCCCGCCGTCGTATTCAGTGCGGTACATTAGGACATAGGCAAACATACCTCGCAGGTGCCATCCACCGTGGTGATGCTCGGCGACGATATGATGGCTTTCTTCGTCGGTTTTCTGCTCGACTATGGCTTCAATTGGCAGGAGGTCCTCAAGAGCGCGGAATGGGAGGTCAGTGAGGCGAGCTGGAAGCGGTATGTGGAGGAGTATGACCGCAGCTTGCCTCAACGAAAACGCCCCGCGCCTTTGGAACTGAAGATACCTCTAATGGGGCCCACAAATAAGGATCAAAGCACCGACGAAGACATGTTAGCCTATCAAAAGGCGTGGCTGGCGCGGATGCAGATGAAAGAACGGACGGTGCGAACACTGACTTTGACGCAATGAGCCATGACGTTGATCGCTTCTGTCTTTAGGGCACACTGTATTTCATGGCTATTGAAATACTGAAAACCTACGTCGCACACGATGTCCGGCACGATCTGGAGTCATTCTTTTGGCTCCTGCTGTGGGTTGTCCTCCGGTACACTCAGACGAGCTGCTGGCCGCCCAACAGTGTATATTGTGACGTCTTCGGAGGCCAAACGGAGCGAGAAAGTGCCAGGGACAAGTCCTACTTCCTGATGGACGCGATGGACTGGAAGGTTGTTGGCAATCCGCCCCTGGCCAAACTCGTTCTCAGATTCAAGCGCCTCTGCTACATGGCAATGCCGCAAGCGGAGGACCCAGAGAGCAGAAGAATGCCTCTGACGGATGAAAGTGTCCTGGCGCTCTTCGACGAGGCCCTTGCGAGCCCGGAGTGGCCTCAGAACGACTGTACACTCCCCTTCAAGATGCCTTCGAAGATGGCTCCGACCGCTAGCCAGGTCGGCGGCAGCCAGGCGGTGACAGGTTCTCGTGGCGGCGCGAAACGGTGGGATCGTGACGATCGAGATCCACTCTCGCTACCTGCGCACAAGCGGGCTCATTTCTACGGATCGCCTGTTGATGACTTGGATGACTTGGACGACTCGGACGATGATCAGCAAGCAGCCACTGATAAAGCAGATGCCCTGCACTAACGATGTGCTGGCATGCGCCTCGTACATTCTCTTATCTGCTTGCTCTACCATTCCTCTCGCGTTTCGGTATCTTCTGCACTCCTGAACCGTCAAGGCATACCGTATTGGACGGTACTCGCAGGCTCCCCCCTTGTTTAGCACTCTTATACTATCCCTCCGAGTCGTCGTTATGCTGCTGCATACACTTTCCGAGATCGTATGCACTCGTCGGAATCCTCTCTTCCCTACTAGTAGCACTACCTACCCAGAATTAGCCTTGTACTACGTTCCCTCATGTATTGCATAGAGGTCCGCGCGCAGCGCGAATTTCTATTACGCTCGCCCAGCTACGAGAGAACTGCTTTGAACCGTGACGCCGATTCGAAGGTCGGAATGACGTTCACGGCCTACTTATATTCTGCGGTTGCCAGACTCACCCTGACTCGCCACGCACTTAGTCTCGTCTTTTGTGCCACGCACTGTCACGGTGAGATTTGAATCGGCCGCGAATATTCGAGGGGTGCCATTAGTACCTCCACAACTGATTATCACTTCAGGACACTATGGCCGAGCGGTTAAGGCGACAGATTCGAATCTAAATACCATCTGTTTCCCTCTGGGAGCGCATGTTCAAATCATGCTGGTGTCGTATGTTGAACGAAGTTGGCTTTTTGCACAACGTTACCATGCTTGCGTCCCCGGGCGCGTCTGGTAACGATGCGATCTCGGAGCGCCCACATCTAATCTTTCACAAAGCATCCAGAAGCTGGCCGTTTGTAGCACAAACATTGTGTTGCGCTATACTATGGTGCGTTGTTCATCCAGGCTGTTCACCAGGCTTGCACCGATTACTGACTGACTCTGTGTGCTAATTCATCGCAGCGACGGGTACATTCAGTATAGGCATCATCGCAGCTTGCATTTCCAAGGCTGATGTGTTTACTATACGAATCTGACCACCGTCGAACCCCGGCGTACAACACAATGCCGTCTTTCGCCCTAGATCCACCCTTTTCCCTTGAATTGCTCGATGATGTCGTGCGTCGATTCGTCAAGACTGAGATACTTCAGACCCAACAAACGGTCCGCCTTGGAGGTGTCAAAGGTAGTCAGGTGTGTCGCCTTTTCCGGTTCATAGGTCTCATCGCCAGGTGGAATGTTGGGATAGAACTTCCTGGCTGCGTTGACTGTAGTCTCGCTGTCAGGTGAACCCACCGCACGTGAAATTTGAAGGATACTCACGGAGATCCTGTCCCTTCCAGGGGCCTTGAGAGATGATGATGCGCTCACCACCCGCCTTCTCCTTCTCCGCCACGACGATCAGTGCCTCCGCTACATCCCTCACATCGATCCAAGTCATCCTGCGGGTGGGCGTCATCCACAGTTCCTCCATCAGCACCAACATACTCACCCGAACTGAGAGTACCACTCCTTCTTGAGAGGATTTCCAGAGAGCTCCACGCCCTTGATGACTGCGTTAAACCAGAACTTCATGCTCTCGTTCAGCTGCTCCGGCGCGCCCACAGGCTGGAGCGTCGGGCCGAAGATCCACGGCGGGTTGCACACGACGAGGTCCCAGGCGATCCTCCCCTCATGCTTCCCAACGAACTCCCACGCGGCGTGCTCCGCGAGCACATTGCTCGCCTAGTACTTCTCGAGCTGGCCCGCCTCGCGCCCCCGCGCGCGCACCTCCGCGACCGCGCGCTCGTTCCAGTCCGCCTCGCTGAACCGCTTCGGCGCCGGGAGGCTCTCGCGGACCGCGCCGCACGTCGAGGTGTAGACGACGCGCTTGACGGACGCCCCGTGCGCGAGGGCGGCCTCGAGGACGCGTAGGGTGCCGCTGACGGCGGGGATGATCTGCTCGTCGGGCTCGACCGCGCCCAGGTGCACCGGCGCGGCGGTGTGCTCGATCAGGTCGACGTCCTTGACGGCCTCGTCGAAGGCGCCCTCCTGGTGGGCATCGGCCAGGTCAGCATATGTACGCATCCCCAAGCAAAGACAGCACGTACTTTCGTAATGTCCTCGACGATGGTGCCTTCGAATTTGTCGCCGAACTCGGCAAAGACCTGCTTGAGCTGCTCAACCTTGCTCGCCGAGCGTACAGTGCCGCGGACGGAGAAGCCACGCTCGAGCAGCTTGCGCACAAGCCACATGGCGACGAAGCCATTGGCTCCAGTCACCAACGCTCTCCTGGACGTGACTGCAGGCATGGTCGAACGAGATGCGGGGTTATATGAATGGGTGAGTTCTCGAGCTTGTGATCGACCCACACATACCTGCTTTTTTATGTACCGGATATAGTCACCGCTGGTGCACGCACCCACATCGCCTGCTTCGTCAGAGCAGCGCTGATTGTTCACTCGAGAGACATCCCGGGGCGAGGTGCCATACAAATGAGACGCTGGAGAAGGCGACACCCGTTCGGACGGACGGGAGGGTGCCGACCGATGTGCAAAACCTCCGTGCCGAGTTGCTGGTACACGCCTTTCGACTGCTCGACGCTTGACGGACCCGGCCAGAAGACGCTGCCCGTGCCTGAGCCCGAGAGGCAGGTAGATTGCGCAGGCTTCTGGCGGCGCCCGAGTCAGTTTCGTACAGACTCTGCGGAGTGATCGACGTGACTGAGTGAGCGATGCGCCAATGAGACTCAGAGGCTTTTAGGCAGGTCGGTGTGAGTTGGCATCAAGAGGTGCTACGTGGTACTCAGTACTCTCTCCTAACTCAAGGTCAGGCAGCGGCGATCGACCATATATCGGAGTCGAACGCAGAAGAGTGGCGCCGCGCCGCGCTGACTTCAGATCCCCGAAGATGCTGGACTGTCAATACACCGGTGCACCCAGATTCACGCATTGCGGCTGTGCAGCAGTCATCTAGGCTGAGCCTCTCCCTCTGTCGTCATCATGCAATGCCTTGAAACCCTCCTACGTTTTGCCACAAGGTGAGCGCGGTGTTGTACATCTGCATCGAGTCCTTCTGTACTTCCTCTGCGTGCATTCTCGCTTTTAAATCCATCCCCTAGCCTTAAAGTCTTCCACTATGTCCTTCGTTCCCTCCTCGACCGAGTGATACTTGAGGTCGAGTAGCTTAGCGGCCTTTGACGTCTCATACTTGATGACATGTATCGCTTTCTTGGGATCGTAGGCCTCATCTCCGGCAGATACTTTGGGGTGGAACTTCCGTGCGGCATCCACTGTGAAAGGTTCGTCATCCCCTTCTTGTCTTCCACTTCCGTGATGCGAAGCTTGAGCTCACCGAAGTCCTGCCACTTGAAGGGCCCTTCCGACACGATGATCCGCTCCCCGCCTGCTTCTTGCTTCTTGATCGCAAGTACGTGCGCCTCGGCGAGATCGCGGACGTCGATCCAACAAGAGCTATTCACAGGGTCAGAACCACAGCACATCGCAGTAGTATTCCAGAGTAGACTCACCCAACTGACGTCAGCTGCTCCGTCGTCTTCGATCCTTTGAACACCGAATGGAACCAATCGTGCATACTCTCGTTGAGCGCCTCGGGGGCGCCGACCTCGTGGATCGCCGGGCCAAACACGTACGGCGGGTTGAGCACGACCAGGTCCCAGGCAAGCCCCGCCTTGTTCTTCTCGACGAACTCCCAGGCGGCCTTCTCCGCGAGCGTCTTGCTCGCGCGGTACTTCGCGGGGTTCGGCGCCTTCGCGCCCTCCGCGCGCACCTGCGCGATCGCGGCGTCGTTCCAATCCGCCTCTGAGAAGACGCGCGGCTCGCTCTGCACGGTCATCACGGACGCGCAGGAGGACGTGACGACGACGCGCTTGACGTGCGTGCCGTGGGCGAGCGCGGACTCGAGGATGCGGGTGGTGCCATGCACGGCGGGTATAATGAGCTCGTCTGGGTCTCCGGCTTTGAAGTGGAAGGGTGACGCAGTGTGCTCGATGGCGTCGACGTCCTTGACATATTCGTCGAAGGCCCCCGACTGCATGGACGGTATTTCCATTCAGTGAACCCGCGTTTATGAGTAGACAGGCGATGGGTCGGGGACGTACTTTTGTGATGTCCTCCACAATGACGACTTCAAACTTGTCGCCATGTTTCGAGAACACCTCTCGGACGTGCTTCGCTTTGCTCTCCGAGCGAACCGTGCCGCGCACGCTGTAGCCCTGGTCCAGGAGAGACTTTACGACCCACATCGCGATGAATCCATTGGCACCCGTGACGAGCACTTTGCCTTGTTGGATTGCAACCATTGCTTTTGCGTTCCTACTTCCGATGGATATGAGACGGTCTGGGAACGAGTGGGCTGGCAGAATGAAAGGGTCCTTGGCTGAACACACCGCCTTATATACGAACCGAGAGGCGGCACGCTACACCGGTACCGCTTCCGTCGGACATGTGAACCACTTAGCAGAAGAGTGCATCGGATGCCAGTGGGGTCTTGGTGAGATTGCAATACGATAAGGAGACACGATATCGCGGAAGCCACGATTGCTCAGCAACTCGAAACCGTAATCGTCTTTATGCTCATACCACTCGCCACTGCCTCATAGCGGGATCGCACTACGCTCGGGAGACGCGGATAGTAGCCGGAAGATACGATCGCTCAACCAGCCTGAGTTGTTGGTAGCTGTTGCACGTTGTGCTCTTGCCAACGTTGCAATTGTCTCTATACGTGTGTATAGTGAAAGGCAAATGGGTAGTCAGCTCGCTGCATGGTATCGCCCGTAGCGTGGGCGGTGAAATTCGTAAGCCAAGACGGCGACAACGAACCTCCAGTTGGATTGGCTACAGCCTACAGCCACATTCTCCGTACTTACACCGATTCGGACAGCGTAACGAATCCATCCAATGATCCCGCAGGGATATCTTCCGCTCACAGCCATCCCCTCGCCTTCAGGTCCTCCACGATGTCTGAGGTTGTCTCTGAGATTCCGTGGTACTTCAGCCCCAACAACTTGATGCTCTTCGAGTTGTCGAAGTCGAGCATGTGCACGGCCTTCGCGGGGTCGTAAGATTGGTCCCCGAGGGGCGCGGGTGCACCCACCGCCCGCGCTGCGTTGACTGGAGAAAGAGGGAGAGCACTTCAGCACCCAGCACGACGACAAGGCGAGCTAACCACGTACTCCAGTCTTGCCATTTGTACGGGCCAGAAGCCACAATGATCCGGTTGCCACCTGCCTCTTCTGTCGCGAGAGCGAGTGCATGGGCGTCCGCGAGATCCCGCACGTCCACCCAGGCCATGCTACAAGACGAAACCGAGGTTTCAGCTCCCTCCTCTAGCACATCACCAAGCCGCAACCACGTACCCAAGCGTCCCTAGCTGCTTCGGGTCCTGCGACCCGCGGAACACGCTATGGAACCAATTGTGCATGCTCTCATTGAGCGCCTCCGGGGCGCCCACCTCGTGGATCGCGGGGCCGAACACCATCGGCGGGTTGAGCACGACGAGGTCCCAGGCGATCGCGCCCATGTTCTTCTCGACGAAGTCCCACGCGGCGCGCTCCGCGAGCGTCTTGCTCGCGCGGTACTTGCCCGCCTGGCTCGCGTGCACGCCCTTCTCGCGCACCTCCACAACGGAGCCCTCGTTCCAGTCCGCCTCCGTGAACACGCGCGGCGCCGCCTGCGTCTCGAGCACCGCCGCCACGCTCGACGTGATCACCACGCGCTTCACGCTCGTGCC